AGCTTCCTTTCCTTTCCAAGCCTTTGTTCCTGGTTTTGATGCGCTCTCTCTTCTCAGGAATGCCAGCCTTTCTCTTCTGTGGTTCCCTCACACACATGCCAAGCAGCTTGTGCCCTCTGGTGTATGTTAAAGAAACAGCAGTGAGAAGGAGATCAGCAATCCCACAAACCTGGCCCCAGGCCCCAGGAGCCTGAGGGGTGGCTTGTAACCTGACCCGTAGTCCTTCACCATCCTACCTCCCACTGCAGTGACCAGACGGGCATTGGTCACCCCTGGAACATATTTCAGGTCAATTAAAAAATGTGTGCTACACAAAACTCCTTTCCATGTATTCTGTTTGGACCTCACTCTGCTTTGGGGGGAAACGGGTGTCATTTTCTTAAGCTGCCTCTATACGAGAGGACCAATTCCATGAAGACCATGTAACTAGTAACTGTCTTCTCAAAACCACATTCTCCACGAAAAAGCTATGCCAAATTTCTTGAAAAGCAAAAGTTCGCTATTAATCACGCTGTTTTAAAAATAATTTCCAAACTACCTGAACTGTCTTTAGCAATCTACCCTTTGAAGAAATAATAGTCTCATTTTGAGCACTTACTGTTTTGTTCTCTCCTGTACTGACAACCCGTGCAGTTTTACTCCCTCCCCAGGGATGAGAACGGAGACACAGTTCCTCTCACCAGTCTGAATTCAAGCATATTTTACACCAGTGAAGGGGCTGAGATTTCTGTGGCTGTGGCCAGTTAGATNGTGGGTGGGGGGGATGGAGGGAATAAAGAAGTTAAGGGTTCAGAGTGATGGAGACGCCACTGTCCTTTCCCCAAAGTGACCCAGGAGTAAAAACAGCTGGCTGTGGGACGCCTGTGCTGGGCGGAAGGCAGAACATGCAGGGCTATGTCCCAGGAAACGCCTTCACCATAGGAAAAAGCGGTTAAGCCTATACCTATCAAAAAGTGGCCCGGATGTATTTTGGTTTCTTAAAGCTGTTTTCAGGATGGAAATACTCTGGAAATAAGGTTCTTTTAAATGTTTTGCTGTTGAACTGAGAGGGCAACCATGCTTATAAAACACACCCAAACTGTGCATTTGGTCATCACTTTGTAAGGCCTGCCTTATAACACCCAAATTCAATCAAATAAGAAATCTAGAAATTTGGAGCAGTGGATAGACTTATTTCTGTATTCTCTCATACTTTGCCTCAGTCCCAAACGCTGTCCTATTTGATTATAGAGAGATGGTGGTTTACATCCCAGGCACCCCATGTCACCACCCCCTCAATAGCTTTTGCTTCCTGATCAAAGCAACAACAGAAGCTAGCACCCAAACACCTACTTTAATTGAGACTGACTGCAATAAAGAAGCAGGTGAAAATATGAATACCTTCAAATAAAGAGAAAAGCAAGGTCAGAAGGAGAGTAATAGATATAATATTGGGACAGTAAGAGTTTAGAGTCTATGTGAAGCAAACGCCAAATTAGCACCTAACGCCTGTGGTTGAGTGTCAGTGTTTAAGATGGACTCAGAAGTATCTGACAGAAGTCATTTACAATAGTTAGGGGACAAGATACACACTTAGTATCTAGCAGAAGTTTTGTTTCGCTCTCCCCCACCCCTTTTTTTGTAGCCCCTTAATTGGGGCAATTGTCATTTATAAGTGGAAAACAAAGTTGACTTTTTTCCCCAACAAAATTTCAATGATTTTTTTTTT